AGAGGACAGAGATGGCCGAAGGAGTCGGCTGTTTGCTGCTGCTGCCTTCAGCTTCATGAAGGAAACAATAAATGACACTCACCTCCGTCTGGTCTCACTGTGTGATCCGGAAGGTTCTTCTATAATTCTGTGTCCGGTTTGGCGACAGCTGTTTAGGGTCCAAACTCTGTCCAGTGTTGGTAGTGGTTTCACATTCAGTACCGGTGTTCTAGCAGTACAGAATGGACCATTATGGGTCATCAACCCACCAGGTGAACAAATGGCGACCTCCATTGGTGAAAAATATCACAAAAGATGTACATTTTTTAAGTAATTATGAGTTTCCTATTATTTAGTTAATAGGAAAACTACAACATCTTTCGGCCAACATGTTCAACTAGAGCCTTTAAACTTGCCTGTAAACATAACATGAAAAGTAGACTGATTTTTTTTAAAGTTATTCTTCCTTTTGTGACATTAGGACTTCCACTGATTGAGATAATCTGATCTTTCAAAACTTTGCAAAAAGGAAATCTGTTCTCCAGGTTTCTCATCTGTGTGGCAAAAACAGCAAAAACAAAAAGTGTTTGTTTGGCTCAGGAGGACTGGTTTGCCCAAGGCACCATTAATGCAGAAACCACTGCTGGCACCTGATATGAATAGCATTTAGCTGTCTCTGTGAGTATTCCTAAACTTCCTCTCCAGCAGACACTCAGCTCAGCCTTAGCTTTAGAGGAGAGGAACATTTGAAATTCTAGAAAATGTACATATGAAAGGGAATAGAAATGATTCTTAATGTACTTGAATAGGAGCTGCAGCATTTAGGTCTTTCACGCTGCATGCCCTGACAGAGGCTAAAGTGAATAAGTCGTCATCTCCCATTAAAATTCATATTGTATCACTGACTGGGACTGAGCCCATTTTCTCCGCTGTGCTCTCGCCATGAGCCACACAATAGTCAGGGAGACATCTAATGAGGCAGGAGAAAAAATATTAAGAGGGGAAGTCTTCAGGAGTTGGCTTTCTCAATGGTCGGGCTTCAAATTCAATAAGAAAACCTTTTGACGGAGCTTTAGGCAGGTGGGAAGGAGAGGACAAAAGGAAGAAGGGCCCGGCAGAGTGACTAAGATGGGCTTTGACAATGTCAGCTTTGGTCTGGTCAGCTTGTGTGGATGATAACTGAATATGAGGGCAGCTTATAATAGAATAAAAAAAGGAAGGATTTGCCAGGTTATTTAGGAAAAGAGCTTATAGCCAATGAAAGCCAAAGAAGCATTCACCCTGGCTGTGGAATCGTGGACTGTATCTTTACTCTCAAGGAGTTTGCTTGTCTGGTCCACATTTGTTTTGCTATTGCTGGAAAAAGTTTACAACTGTGTCCTCGGTGGCTTTTTCAGGAGAGGTGGTGTGAGATGCCAGGGGATGCTTTAAAGCAGTCCTCCCCGACTTCAGGATCGTGGACCGGTACCAGTCTATGGACCAATTGTTACCGGGCCGCACAAGAAACAATTAAATATTTCCGTTTGTATTATCTGAGTCTGGAGGATCTTTTACCCAGAGTCTCTCAGTTACGTCTTGTGCCCCAACATTGAGCCACAAGCAGCAAAATGAGTCAGAAACAGATCAGATTCTTTGGAAAGTTTCTTTGCGGAGGGGAAAGGCCCAGAAAAGAGACAGGAGAGTGGATTTGTCCCGGACCGGTAGGAGATTCCCATATTCAAGGTCATGTGAGACAAAAAAGCTTTCAACATACTGTACGTGAATTACAAATGAACAAACACGGATGATGATGTCGAAGCAGTAGTGACAGTTTGTGGACTCATTTTAGGTGAGTTAGTGTCAGGGTCAAGATCTGACTGAAAGAATAGCGTAATCTTTATAACCTATTTATGTCACCCTAAGGAAAGCTGAAAAGTTACCGGCTTTATCAGATGCTGTGCCAGTTTCGCTGCAGTTCCTCTCCTTGTCATTTCTGTTGATGTTCCTCGTACAAAATGCTGAATGAACATTCCTGCTGTTTCCACACATCATCTCCGATGCCACAAACTCTCAGTCGTGCCATGTCAGCTGTTTGGGATTCACCGGCATGATTACATCACCGCGCTTCCTGACAGTGTTGTGTAAAGTACTGAAATCTCAGAGTCAAAATATGACTTTGGTAAAAGTCCAAGTCACTGACTGAAATGTTACTTGAGTTAAAGTCTTAAAGTATCTGAAATGTCTTGTACTTAAGTCTGGAAATTACTGTAAAAATGGATGCACTCAAGTAATGTAATGAAAAGTACAAGTAAAAAGTAAAACAAGGCAAATGCAGCTAGAATGACATTTTTTATATTTTGATAAACTTGTCAAATACACTTAAAATAATGTACACAACCAAGTGCAGGCAAAATGAAACCTGCTAATAGATAAACCTGCAGGCATCATTTAGTAAAGAAATTTAGGTGCTTTACCTAAACCACAAGGTTAACTTAACCTGCTTTACAACTGAACCAGCTTCTTAGTACCCATAGGTTTGGGTGAGCACCTGTATAAAAGGTCTGAGTGAATACAAAGCCTGATGTGATTGCACATGCACTGTTACACTTTGAGTATGGTATGGGAGTCTTCAGTCACCTAGCAAGAAACTTCACCACCTTGCCTGCTGAGGTCAAAGAGGTCAGAGGGCGTAGCAACGCTGATACATTAGAGCCTTGCTTCTGACAAAGCGTGTGCATAAATAGGAGAGCAACCAACTCTAGTGTGAAGCTCTTTGGATTCCTCTGCACTTGATGAAGCACTATTTTGGGTATTCTTGTCTTCAACAAAGTGTGGTGAAGACAATACAAGCATATTCAAAAATACCAGCGGTTTATGCCAACGGGATAATCCCCCTCTTTTGCGTTTGCTGCTCTTCTGTAAATCTTTGTGTGTCAGAAATCATTGGAGTCAATGATGGATTGAAGAGATGGTTGGAATTTCCTCCTCTCTGCTCTTTGGTCCAGCTCTACATCCAGAAAGCCTCCTGTTCAACTCCTCTGGGATTTGTCCTACGTCAGGTCTTATTTGAGATTTAAGATGATACTCCGGGTTGTAAAAACAATACATACACTAGATGCCATGGGTATGCATCATAACAACTGACCAATAGTAAAAAGGTAAGAATAAGTCTTACGAAAAGAACAAAACCAGAACTAGCAAAACAAGAGCTACTCTACCACGAAGCCACCATTTATACATGAGGCGATGAGCAAGCTGTCCATGTTCAGGACAGCTGGACTCAAGTGTCTGAAATGAGATTCTTATGGAAAGTAGCAAGGCTGGTTTTTAGAGACAAAGTGAGTCAAGGAGGTTTGGACATCTGATCAGTATTCTTCTCTTTGGAGGTCTTCAAGGTCCATCCTACTTTGGGGAGACCCAGGGTCCAAGAATCAGTATTTGCTGGAGGAACTATATAAAACATCCCTTCTGGCGTGGTGCGTTCCCAGAATCATCTGGAAACCTGTTACCTTCTTGTCTGTGACCCACTGATGCAGATTGTAGCCAGCTTTGAAAAATAGCATGAAAGTTTGCACAGTCATTAGGTTTCTTCTCTCTAGGAGACTCTGGAGGATCTTCGCTCTGCCTCAGTCATGAACCAAGAAAACCGATTTTACCTTTGATCTTGCAGCTCTGTGGCTTCACACCGTTTAACCTTTGCTGCCTTTGATAGTCTTGAGCCAGCTCTCCATCTGGTTAGGGTTTTTTTTTTCCTTTATAGTGTAAGGCTATTAAAAAACGATTCGCAAAGTTTGCAATTGCTTCTGATTGCTTTTGTACTGCAGCTAATTGCAGTCCTCCTGAGCCACTAAAGCTCAAGAAGGGATGGTTTCCATTTCATTATATGCAAAAAGCTTTTTTTGTCTTTTCTTTTTCTTTTTTCAAAAAGAACTTGAACCTCAGGGAACCTTAGGTATAATTTAGGGAATTATTCCTGCATATTTTATAATAGAAAAACTTACATAATCTTTGTTTTAGCCCTTCATAACACTATTCTAGCATGTTTATAGAGTAAAACCGTCCATGGGATTTCATACTTATCAGCTTTTAATAACCTGTTCTGCCTGTTTATTTATGCACAGATTTTCTTTTGTTTTTTTTTTTTTGGAGCAAGGCAGGGAGGGAACAAATCTACTGCCAGACCCGGACATTTTAATCTCCACTTGACATTAACTCATGCAATTTTATCAAACAGCTGCTTGAAGCCAAGGATCATCTTCCTGTTTCTGTGAATCGCTAATTACATATAATTACACACACAGCCCGCGCGCACACGCAACACATGCAGAAACTATTTTAAATGCTGGTTGTTTGGTGTCAGCCATCTTGTTTGAAATTGTTTCAAGGCAGAAGGATTTGGGATATTTGCAACAGGAAGGATTTCTGCTGTGGTGCTGTCTGTGTTTTTATTAGTGGGAACAGGGCGCCACGCCTGTCATGTCTGGCTTGATGCTGCCCCCTAGTGGCAACACTGAGTGTTTAACTCATTTATAGTTTCTTACATTTGCTGAGACTCTAAAACACAGGAGGTGTGGTGAGTCAAAAAATGATGCTCAAGCGATGATAAAAGAGTAGTTTTCCAAGACAGGACTCCAATAAAAACATATTTGGTAATGTGTATTTTAAAATGTCTTCAGAGAAAATATGTGCAAATTCTGGCATATTAAAAAATGACTTTTTAAATGTATTTTTTTTACTACAATGTTACTAGTTAATTCAGGATAAATATTCATTTTTTCAAATATAATTTTCAACATAAAATTATTACAATATGTGTAAATTAAAATGATGGTGTTTCTCTGATTGATCTCTAAATGCTCCATCAGCATCGACAAGTTGTTTCACAATTCTGGAGATAGTTGACTTAGGACATTTCTTCATATCACTGCTTCTACAGTCATATTTATTGCCTGTGGTTAAAACCAAATAAAGAAAATGGTTTGATGTATTTTTGATGATTCCCTCTGGTTTTCTGGAGTACAAACAAACACTCAAAACAAGCATTACAGCAAATACAAGATTTTATTTTAGATACAAGAAAATGAGATTATTTACACTTACACAGAAAGAATGTCTGATTTGTAAAGTTGCCTTTTCCAGACCAACAGTTTCAGGTCAACAAATACTCAAGCAGCACATTATCTGTTCTGTACTGATTCTAGTACAGTATGCTCAACACCTTTACTTATTATTATTATTATTATTATTATTATTATTATTATTATTACATAACTCAAACACACCAACAGGTCAATTTTCTTCTTGTCTCTCAGTAGGAAGCAGGAAACCAGCTCCCCCTACTGGCCACATCATGACAATTTGATTAATGGCAGAGAGTTTTCATTCAGCTGCACTTAAGATGCCGCCATTTTTTTAAAAACTTTGCCGCTCTTGAATTTTGCAAGCACTTCTCAAACTCACACATGTTACCAAAAGTGAACCCCGGTACTAAGTCTTGGCACCTTGAGCTCCAGCTGCAAGGCGGAGGCGATGCTAGCTGTCGGCGTTCGCCTCATTTGGCCATGGAAGACGCCGCCTCCTTCTCCAGGCTCTGAGCGAAGCGGTGGTTGAGGAAGAGGAGCTGGCCGTGAGGAAGCAGGCGGCTGAGGAGAACGTCGATCCGGCTGCTCTTCAGCAGGACCTGGAGGAGAACGGTTGCTACGGTGACAATTTGCTGATAGAGAGGAAGTTTGTTGGGGTCTTTTTTTTTTTCTTTACAGGAGAAGAATTTATTTATCTTTCTGAAAAAGTAACTAACATTTTTAGTATCTGTTACTGTCAAACATTCCCACAGCATGATGCTGCCGCCGCCACCAGACGTCCCAGTGAAGATAAGATTTTCTTTATGGTCAGAAATCTATTTAAGCTTCATCTCGACGCTGAGTGGCAGATCTCAGAAACAAAAACAAAAAGAGGTTTTCTGTCAAAACCCTCAATTTTTCCACTGTTCTTTCAACATTTGAATGAAGTAGTTTACTGAAGTTTGAGTAAAATGAACTTATTTATGTATTTAAAAACAAAATTCACACCGAGTCCCTTCTTTCTGGTTGATCAGACATCTGGAAATCAGCCCCACTGCTGCCAGTTGAGCGACTATATTTAGCCATTTTACAGGCAAAAACAAAAAAAGATTTTCTGCTGGAATTGGTGAGTGAGCATTTTTAAAGATCGGTGATCTTTAAAGAGGAAGTTTAATCGGTGGATAAATCGGTTATTAGTTTATGAAAAGGACCAAATAGTCTTTATCATTTGGTTAGTAATGCCTCCTGCTCACCTCGCTGCCTTGCCCCAGCATGTGCAGATTGTCCAGACAGAGCCTGCTCAGGTTTCTTAAGACGCCCTCAGCCAGCAGCAGGTTGTCATGAGGCTCACAGACCAGCGTGAAGCCCAGGCTCTGGACCCCCAGCCACAGGACGCTCACTTCCTCAGAGAAAGGGTCGCCCGCTCTCAGACGCACCACCCCGCTGTCTGCGTCCTGCAGGACCAGGGCCTCGTCGCCCGGCACCGCGTCCACCAGCTGCCGGCCGCTGGCCTCCCGCGACAGGGAGACGGCACTTTGGACCTGCCTTGGCGGGTAAAACAGCACCACAGTTAGTTAGACGTTGTTCGTTTCAAATTGTGGCTCAAAATAGCAAAATAAATGTTTCTCTTCATGCTTTTCTTTACAAACTTTAACAAACTGCAAAAAAAGCTTTTTCTTGTATGTGCGTCTACAGTACCTGGGGATCATTGGACCCTAAACACTGCCCCCTACTGGCTAACCAGTGCCTTGCAGTCCAATTTTATTTATTTATTTATTTTATTTTTTTGCCAAGTCCACATTTCAGTATTTAGGACAAAATGCTGAGGACTTGAAGAATATCTTGTTCATCTTTCCATAGCAAGAGATACTTGCAAGTGAAATAGTTGTTACACTGCATTAATTGTATGTTAGGTGAGGAAATTTGAGTTCATTTAAGCGTAGATTAGACCATGTATCAGAGATCAGAGGGCAACTGAGAAAAATGTGAGAACATCAGTATAGAAAATTTAAAAAAATCAAAGCTGAAGCCAAACTGGAACAATGACCTAAAAACATCCCAGTAAAATCACCCAAGACCGACAAAGTCCTGGCATGACCTAGTCAAAGCCCGGAGCTTGACCTCGAGGAAACACAGCGAATCCGTCTAAAAATGCAATCGCTCAAACATAAGAAGTGAGACAAATATGTGAGGATTGTATTTTCAAGAAAAGATTTCTGTATCTTCCTTTGTAATACATTAATGACATTTAAATTACGTCATAAGTTTTTTATTCCAATCCGTCACTCCTTTGCATAGATTTGGTGTTTGATGCATTTAATGAACAGAAAAAAAAAATCAGAATTATTTGAACATGTTTAAATGTTGGCGAATCATTAAAGGACCCATGTAAGGATGACGGAGCCGGATGTGACATGTGAGTTTGTTACCACAGTCCCGCGCTCTCACCGCTCCGCTTCCGGTGTCGCTCCTGTCCGGGATTAATACAGTAATTGATAACAACTCGCAGCCCCCTCACCTGGCCACCACAGAAACCTTCTCCCTCTGCAGGAGCCTCCTCTCCTCCTCGCCTCCTGGTTTGGACAGAACCGCCTCGTCTGGACCGAAGAGCCGGGAGAAAAGCACCCGGCTCTCCCCGGCGGACAGAGCGCCGACCGGGCCCACGGTGTGGATCAGGAAGCACCGCACCATTTCTCCGAAACGCCTTTCAAAAACCTCTGACGCGCCGCTCGGACTCCAGGAACCATTTAAAGAGCCACTCTGCGTCCTCGGGATCTTTACTTCCGGGTTGGTCAGGTGATCAACTTGAACCGGGTTGCTGCAATGCGACGTTTTCACCAGCAGAGGGCGCTCGAGATTTTTTTTGTTTCTAGTTTTGTCCATTCTTGATTAAACGGATTAAAATTGTACATATGCACATACAGTAAAACATTTCTATATTTATGTCTATATAAACTATTTTTTAATTTTCTACATGTTACTCAGAAGAAGATCTAAAATGTAAGAAAGTCTGAAGGAGGTTTCAGGCTGAGTGTCACCAGAAGACAAGCAGAGCCAACTGGTTGTCAAGCAGCTGCTGCTTCTTCAGAGAGAGAGAGTGTGTGTGTGTGTGTGTGTGTGTGTGTGTGTGTGTGTGTGTGTGTGTGTGTGTGTGTGTGTGTGTGTGTGTGTGTGTGTGTGTGTGTGTGTTAGAGGTTAAGCTGCTGTGTCAGCAAAAAAGAACACATTCATTTCTCCATTGTGGACGTCTTCTCATCTTATTTCCTGACAAACCATTTAATTGCGGACGTTGGGCTCCTGGGGCGTCTTGGTCAGTCAGCACCCAGACTGGAACAGGTCAAAGCTTGAATTCAATTCAAGGATTCAATTGAAATGTCTTGTCTTAAAAAATGACTTTTTCCATGTTACAAAAGTAGGGTCATGTGACTTTGAAGCAATGCAACGACCTTCTTGTTTGTTGTGTTCCTTACATGGTTTGGGAGAAAAAAAACGCAAACATGGGTTTGGCAAACCAGCATTAGGGCTTCAGTCACAAAGGACGCTCTTAAGAAGCCACATCGTCGTGTTGCATGAAACAGAACATGCGTGGGTGAAGAGCATCTCTGACACCTTATGGGTAATTTTCCCTCAGCTAAAAGACAGTCACTACAGCTGATAGTTAACCAAATCTTTCTGGGACCTTTGGATGTGAACGTGAAGCCAAGTCGCTCTGCCTGACCCCGCTGCAGCTGTTTGACCCGATCCGCTTCTCAGTCCAGCGTCTCATCGACTCGCAACGAGCGTGAGAGCTGCACAGCGGCTCGTGTCTGGCTGCCCACAAGAAAAAAAAACCTCAACCAGTTTTGTTGTTTTGAACAGTGAGTCACATTTCTATGTGATGAGACATACCAGCTGAGTAAGAAGAACAGGATGTGGCGAAGGGAAGGGCCAGTTCCACGGACCAATGGGGACGAAGAGCGCCTGTTTGAAACAGAGGAAGCTTCAAAACAGCATGACAGGCGGACGACTGACGATTTTATTTATTTATTTTTTGGCCTGCTGTGTGCATTCTTCACAAGGGGGAATAAAAACATCCTGAGCATGTGACGGTGTGCAGAAAGCATCGGTTCCTGAGAAACCCTCAGAAGCAAAGTTCATTCCTTCACGCCCACGGGCCACACCCGTGCACGGGCTGCATGCTTTGCTTTGCTTGCGGGGTTGCAAGGCTGATTGATTCACTGGCTGGTTTGTCAGTTTACTGTCAACGCCTCCGCAACCTGGTGGCTGCAGGTCGCAGCAAGGTTGGAGGTTTTTGGTGCTGGGTTCAGCCTTGTATCATTTCAGCTTTTCTGTGGAAGTAAATGCAAAGGACAGCTTCTGTGTACATGTATATCATCACCTTCCAAAAATAATCACCCAAGTAATCTTTTGACGAAAAGAAAAAAAGACTAACGCCATTATTTTAGATAGATGTCAACATACAGAACCAATTGAATAGAACCTTTGTGACAACTTGAAGTAGGCTGATACGTCCCAAGAAGCAACACATTGCATCTGATTCAAACTCATTTCAGGACAGACGTCGGGCCATAAGCTGCATTTCCATGACAAATGTGCATGTTGATTTTATGCTAATGTCAAAAAAATATTTTATTAACATTTCCTTTAAATAAATCCATGATGGCATTGCAGGTGTGGATGACTGTACAAAACTGTACGGGCGTTCCCTTTAAAAAAAAGCCAGAATTGATCAGAATTTGCTGAAACCAATTGATTTCAAAGTAATAATCCTCCACTGAGCTCAAAGGATTTTCATCTACTAATTTAATGTGTCTTTAAAGACTTATTTTCTTCATTGGGTCGATTTATTTTTCTGTGTTTTGATATTTTTTCTTGTAATGATTTCCTGTAAGATTCAAACATTTACACGAGATATCCACTGGAAATAAAAAAAATCTGAGGCATCTTGAATATTTGGATGTAGTTTCTAGGGCAAATATCTCAGTACAATTAAAGTGACAGGTAACTTGTTCTAAGACAATAATAATGTTAATGTTGATGAAAAATACTCATTCACTGGCAAATTATTTGATTTATGACATTCATCCTGTTAAAGATGAAATAAGTATGTTTTTCAAATGATTGACTTAAAACAAGCTGAGACGTTTTTGTCTCATTTCAGGTGTACTGAGATAAAAAGTGGGCCAAAAATACTTTGACAGATTTGGGTGTATTTGCTGTGCGTAGGTCAGGTCACGTTTCCGATAACATGCAGCAGCTCTGAATATTTGCTCTGTGTCTTTTCCAGAGAGCTGTTAAACTCTTGTCAAGGCCCGTCATGCAGCCAGGGCTCCGCCTCCAAAGAAAGGAATGTGTGTGTGAGAGTGTGTGTGTGTTGGCAGAGGGAGCAGACACGTGCTGACGCAAAGAGGCCACCCCCTACGCTGGCTGCTGGAGGGAGAATTTGAAAAACAATAAGAGCAGCTCTGTGCTGCAGGAAGACCAGCAGGCCCCGCCAAGCTGAGGAGAGGAGCAAACAAAAGAGCAGATGTGCTGCACATAGAGTTCAAACATGGCAGCAAGAACCTCTGCGTACCGAAGGCTCACTCCGCAGGTTTATGGAGCCGTCTGGATTTGCGGTGGAAAAAAAAAACCAAGCGAAATTCGAATCTGAACTGAGGCTTGCAGATGTTTTTATCCTATAGAAAGATTTTAGTTTCTGTCAGTGAAACACTTTCCTCAAACTTTCTGAATCATGAAAGCTTTTAGCTCTGTGGGAAGCAGTCACTAATATTAAAAATAATTCACAAACCTATTATTTACATCAGTGATCAGACGTTTACATACACTCCTTATATATATATATGTCTCTCTCTCTCTATATATATATATATATATATATATATATATATATATATCCCAAAGAACTAGCTCCAGAGCTAGCTAGCGAGAAGGTTGGCCTCAAAATATAAATAAATGGATGGCTATTGGGTGTAACCCAAATATTTGGCTTTCAAAGACAATTTCTTCCCATAACCAAGATGCTTATTCACAATTCTTTGAGTGTTATTTGTACAAATTTGGAAGGAAAAAGCCACAAAATGGCAACTATTGGGTATGAAATGTGTCTGCAGAGAAGACAAGATGGCTACCTATCCAGAGCCCCTAGGTGAGAGCAACTCTAGGGGTGTTTTTCCTTTTCTTAGTTTTAAGCCTACATAAATTTCTAACCTCATGTGTGGATTTAACCTGGCAAAAACCAGCCCCATGTTCTACACTACAATATGTTCAGGGGTTTTTGGACCCTCGGGTATTGAGACACTATTGATGTCTGGAGGCGTGGAATCTGTTTAACGTCGAAATTTAGCTGGTGACTTATGTGGTTTGCTAATTTGATGTAATGAACAAGCTGAGAAGAAATTGCCTGCTAGTCTCCACTGCAGAAGTAAGGCAGCTGGGAGTCAATTCAATGTTTTGAAGCCTGGCCAACATGGTCTGACCTAATAATAATTAAAAAAAACCCTGCATGGACTGAACCGCTTCGTTCATTTCCCTTGCCAGGGAACAAGACAAAAGTATTAAACGCATTATTATTCATGACTTCTTCTGTTAGCTGATTGGCCATATTGAAATTCAACTGGGAAAATCCCAAACTGAGCAGGAGTGTGTTGGGGAATAAAAAAATAATAATTATAATTACCTTCAAATGAATTGCTTAAAAAAAAGGGGGGTGGGGGGATGGAATTGTCTATCTGCAAAAATAAGACGTATTGATGGGGAAAAAAGAAAAAAACATATCCAAGAATTCATGTGACCTAACCAGGGTTTGTGAATATCAAGTCCTGGTTCCACATTTGACAGAAAGGCTTCAATTCAACCCGTCTGAATTCATATAGGATCTTTATTTCAGCAGCTCCACCACAAGCCTGCACCAAAATACTGAAGCCATCCTACTGACACTCACACAGGTTCAGAAACGGGGCAAGACCATTTTATCTTTGAAAATTAAGTCGTCACAGCAAAGGGAAAAAGAAAAAAAAAAAAAAAAAAAGATACAAATCAAAGATCTTTTCACTCTTGCCGACCTGCAGCATAAGAAAAAACTTGAACAGTGCAGTTAACAGGTAGTTTGGTTTGCTTTGGTATTTTCACTGAGAAAAACGAACAAGTATTGCAATCGGTCAGGAAGGAGAGAAAATATCTGACTTCATCTTTTTTTGCATGCCGTTACAAAATCCAATTAGCATTTTTGGAAATCCTGGACAAGATAGTACAATGATGAAGAAAAAAAATATTGGGGCGAAGTCATAAAAACAATATACATTACAAAGGAGTAGGCGAAAAAAAAGCACCTCATGGTGTTAAAATTAAGTGCTTAAAATGACAGGGAAAATAACAAAAGACGTGATTTATCATTTGGTTCAATTGTATTATTGCAATGTCACTGATTTGTGCTTCCAGATAAATCAAATTTGTCTATATGTACATCTAAAAAGAAAAACAAACAGGTAAACATGAGCAATAGGTCCAAGTGGTTTTCTTAAAACACAGTCGCTTTGCAGAACGTCAGCATTCTGTGAAGAGGACGCTTCTTTCCTTTCAAGTCATTTCCCCATCAGGAAATGTAGCATAAATATGTAAACAAAACTTGGGGGATTTGTTAAAATTAAAAAATAAAAAAAGAGGGGGAAATAAAAGAACAACAAAAAAAATCCCCTTTCTGTTGGTGTTATCCAAAAAGGCCTTTCTAGTGGGTGGGCTGAGGCAGTGGGCTGCATGGGGAGGTCCTGCTGAGTCCATTTGCACGGGGAGGCAGGTTGGGGAGGAGGTGGTCATCACCATTTCTTCAGTCGGCAGTACATGTCCCGCTTGCTGCGCTCTCCGGCCCAGGTGCGACTTTTCAGGCGGAACTTCCTCAGGTCGTCCTTGAAG